GTCATTGTCCTGCTGGAAGACCCCTCCATGACCCATTTCCAGTGTCCTGGCTGAGGGAAGGAGGCTATCGGCCAAGATTTTACAGTGCATGGCCCCTTTCATCCTCTCCTCGATCCAGTGATGTCGTCCTGTCCCCTTAGCAGAGAAACACCCCCAAAGCATAATGGTTCCACCTCCATGCTTGACGGTGGGGATGGTGTTCTTGGAGTTATAGTCAGCATCTCTCTTCCTCCAAACACGGCGTGTCCAATTGATGCCAAATATCTCGATGTTCACATCACTTCGACATCACCTTCTCCCAAGCCTTCTCTGAATCACACAGATGTTCACTGTCAAACTTCAGACGGGCCTTTCATGTTCCTCTTGAGCAGGGGGACATTGTGGCGCTGCAGGATTTGATCCATTATGGTGTAGTGTGCTACCAATAGTTTTCTTGGTGACTGTGTTCCCAACTGCCTTTGTATCATTAACAAGTTCCTCCTGTGTAGTTCTTGGCTGATCCCTCACCTTTCTCATGATCATCAATACCCCACGAGATCTTGTGTGGGGCCCCAGACCGAGGGCGATTGATTGTCATTTTGTCTTTCTTCCATTTCTGAATAATCGCACCAACAGTGTCTCCTCCTCACCAAGCTGCTTTCTGATGGTCTTGTAGCCAGTCCCAGCCTTGTGCAGGTCTACAATCTTGTCCCTGAGGTCCTTAGACAGCTCTTTAGTCTGGCCCCTGGTGGAGAGGTTAGAATCTGATTGATTGATTCTGTGGACAGGTGTCTGTTATTCAGGTAACAAGTTGATATTTGTAAGGAAGATTACTTATTTAACCGGTCTGTGGGAGCCAGAATCCTTGTTTGTTGCAATGGGATCAAATACTTATTTCCCAATTTATCTTTTATATAATGTCAATTTCTTGATTTTCTTTTTGATATTCTTTCTCTCATTGTTTATATAAAGCTACCATCACAATGATAGACTGTTCATTTATTTGTAAGTGGGCAAACTTACAAAATCTGCAGGGGATCAAATACTTATTTCCTCCACTGTATATAAATAAACTTGCCTTGAAGTTATACTGTAAGTATTTCAATTTTTTTGTTCACCTCATTTCTATCAATGAGTTGAAATGTTTGGTCCTATCCATTCTGAATAGGATACAAGTGAAGTGTGTATGGTGGCCCTGAGAGCGTGACACAAACATGCAAATAGACAAAACAAAACAAAGAAACAGATGTGTCCAAACTTCCATTCTCTGCCCGGCCACTACACTCTGGCCGGTGTATTGATCAGTAAGCGCGGTGTCAAGGGTTAGGGTTTACATTTGAATTAATAGGCTAGCAATCAGACTGAGGCTAATGCTAGGCCAACAGCAGCTACATCTGAATTCACAAGTCAAAAACATCAACAGGACTGTGCCAGTGGAGACCTGTTAAGCCCATATTAGGGATGTTATTGTGAGTATTTATTTTTTTAATCACATTTTCCATGTTATACTTTGTTACTGTGTCATAAAAACAGTATTGATGCAGTTATTGCAGAAATACAACATATTTGATATTGTTGTTCATCTGGAAGAGAATCTGCAGAATGCTTCTCTAAATAAAGTAGCTCTATAAACACTGCTTTAATAAAGCAACAGAAAAATGTTGCATTAGTTTTCATTTCAGTCACTCACACACCTTCAAAAGTCAAACACATTTCAAACAAAATAACATTCCATCAGAGGAACAACAACACAAACATGAGCCAAATGTAAGAGATTGATTTAAGCCAACTCAACAACAGGTTCAATACAATATGACTTTTATTATAGACATTTATATAAGGTTTATAAGGACATGGAGAGTCTCTTGGTTGAGATACGCCAGATCTCTCACCAGATGAGAAACTATATCCAGGCATTTTGAAAAAAAGGTCCATGAATAGGGAAAATAAAAATGGGGTTGAGAAATAATGCGTCCCGGTACAAAATTGACACATTGGCCTTAAGAAGCAAAAGATCCCCACAATGACCCAAAGTGGAGTCTTCAGTGGAGCTTTGTGCAATTTCTAACAGAAGTGAGGTGAAGCGTCATTTGTTCTCTGGAAGAAAACGACAGGTGTTCAAAACGTCTTTCAAAACGTCTTTCAAAAGTTTTCAAAACGTCTTTCAAAACATCTTGCCATCAAGTATGTTTACATGCACACTAGAATCCTGGTTTAAATCATATTATTAATTTCCCTGTTACTAATGCACATGTGAACACATTTAGTGTTGAGAGTAAATACCACGGTTTAATTACCGTTCATTCATCACTCAGAAAGGGGAGGGCCGGTTTTTGAGAGCCGTCTGAGTTTAGCCTGCAACAGAGAGATCTCTTCCTCTTTAGCCAAAAGATCAAACTCCCTACTTTGCTCTTCAGTAGCAGCCATGTTTTTAGCGTTGCTGTCCAATTGTAAACAGTGGGATTCTTCATTGCCCAGGTCCTGTGTCTCAAACGCAGGCTGAAGCCAGGACGGCCCTGGGTCTGCTGCAGTGTACCCATGAGAAGGGTTGTCCACTTTGTGCACAACGGCAGAGGACTGAAGGACTGAATGTGCAGTTTTGGATGAAGATACATCACTCCTCTTCTTGTTTTTACTCTGTGTTACTTTACATGTGGTGCTTTTCTTCTTCTCTTCGTGGAGCAGCTCCTGAAGGAAATACAAAGTTGAATCACATAAGGTTTGTGTGCACTTGTCAGGTTTCTTAGTACAGGTACTTGAAACCAAAAATCCACAGTTGATACAGAGGACTATAACATAAGGTACAACTGCCAAACTGTAGACGTACGACACATTTCAATGAGGTCGTTGTTGATTGAGAGCGAAGTCCTTTTTGTTATGTTTCTATATTGTCAGGGAGTAGATTAAGCTTGCACATATCAACATTTTACTCACAGTGGTTCTAACCCTGTTTCTCTGGCAGAGATCTATCTGAGGAACGTGGCAGCTCAATGTCCTTTTCTACAAAATGGCTAATGGTGTACCCCATGGCTCAAAGCTTGGGCCATTTTCTTTCCTCTTTTGACATGCTCCACCTTGGTTACATAGTTACTGGACATACTGTGAACCCTCAAATATTTATATAAAGTGTATTTTCTTCAACAAGCTTTATTTCCCTGAGAACCTCTGAAATTGCTCGTTTATTTTTCATTTTGTGCGTTTCTTTCTCTATTTCCTTGCATATATTTCAATCCGATCAACCTAAAATCTTGCGAAGTAATAATGCTAGTTAAAATTCAGTTGAACTGTAATGGAAGGGTTTGCAGAGAGCTGGCACGATTTGCCATTAACATTAAGGCATTTTTCATTCATTTTATTTAACCTTATTTTTGAATAGCTCATACTTTTTGTTTCAATGTAAATAACTATACAAATAAAAGTACTTTTTTGATGGTTTGATTATTATATTAATGAAGCTCAGCGCAAGTTCAACCAGGAAGACCTTCTTTACTAATTCATTCACTATTTCCATGTTACTACTCTCTCTCCTCTCAATAAGTGATCGGGGGCGTCACTCCCCAGCTTAACCAACCACTTCGCATCTATTCTCACAAGCCCTATGCTCTATTCTCACAAGCCTATCATAGTGCTCCGCTAAACCTTTTAAATCTGCTCTCCCCTCTGACAGCTCTCATTCCAGGTGAATCGGCGCAACCCTCCTCCACCCCTCTTCACCTCCCGTCCATCTGAATCCAGGGTCAAGCTAAGCCACTCCCCTTCAGACCGACCCCAGCTATCCATTCACCACCACCAGTGTCTAGACCCCGGGGGATTTCATCGGATCGGTTCTCCCTTCCCGAATGATATTCCTGCACAACGGGGCCAAATCGCCAAAACTCCTTTACATTCATGCGTATTTCTGGCAATAAATATGTACTCTTACATAAAAACTGTCTTTCCTGATTGAACTCACCTTGTCTGTGGTGGGATGATTATCTGTATTTGTGAGAACATCCTCCTGCTGTTTTTGAGATTTTTGTGGCCGAATGAAACAGGATGTATTTCCCTGTAGTTCTATATTAGCATGTTCAAGAGAAGCCTGTAGAGACCGGCGCTGCAGGAGGACATACAACATCTTAGATCAATATTACTGCCACTAAATATTCCGCTTTAAAACTTTATACAGACAAAAATATGCCTTCTATCATCTTTATAAGCAAGTTCAAAGATAGGCATCATTAATGTAGAAGGGTTTAGGTGCCTCTAGTATAGGTTAAGGTTGAAACATGAATTGCAAATACATTTGTTTTAGAATGGAACAAGCAACATACTGATGATTCAGCTTTTCGGAGAGCCTAAAGAAGAGGAGATAAAAATACAAAAATTGTCATGCGGAGGGAGCTCGAGGAGTAATTTAAATCCTCTGTGGTAAATGAACAAACAAAGTGATTTGAAACTTTCAAATAGATTTTGATGTTTTCTTTTGTACAAGGGAAACTTAATTCTGATTGTGGTACTCATAGAGTTATAGTGACGTGACAAATTTGCACCAGTTTCTTAGATGGGTCTAGGGGCCATAACCAGGTGCTCTAAAACCTAAATTGTGTCAAATAACCCGCCATGTCTCCCCTAGTTTAATTACTAGTAATTCATTGTTGTTATGTGTTTGTCGGTGTGAGTTGAATGTCATCACTAACTGATGTCAAGTTACCTTATTTTTAGGAATGGAAGCCTGGGAGGCTGGCTGTGGTTCATGTTTCCCTTTACGTCTCCGTTTTTGACTGTGATTCCTGCTGGAGAGGTAAACGCGTCCGTGGAAGATGACAACAGCATCCTTGTACATGTGTGGTGCTGAGCCCTGAGGTAATGGGTAGGCGTGTGCTGTGTCTGCAGAGATGCTTTCCCCAGGCATGTTGTCCCTCAGCAGCCGGTAAGCTGTGAGATTGGCGGAGACAAAGGACATTTCGAAGGGACCCGGATCACCCCGGGTCTCTTTGCCCAGCAGTGAAGTCATGTTTTCACAGTTTCCTGTGGGGGAGGTGAGTTTCTGGCCTTTCCTCCGTATGACTGCTGGATGGATCCATATGCCTTCTGGAGAGTCTGAGAGAGGCCTTGGGTCTGAGGGGAGGTCCATTCGTCTAATCACACTGTTTGGTAAGCTTGACAGAGGGATGCTTTTCACCTCAGCTTCCAATGGGATGTAGATTTCCAGTTTTTTAAGGTGATCCATGCTCTATATTTCCCTGTGTACACATTCAGAGTTATAATTACAGATTGTCAAAATAACAGTGACATGGGTTTGAAATCTTGCTATTTTTCTAAGAAAAATTATGCGTCTTGAGAACCATGGTTTTCTACAGCTTTGCAACCTGTTTCCAACATTTACATTACAATTTCCGACAGCATTTGGTCTTTTAAAAAAAAAAAAATCAATACCAGACAGAAACCCTGTAGGACTCAGAAGTTACATGTAGCACTCAGTATTTAAGAAATGATTGGCTTACACTGTAGCAATCTCCACAGAAACAGCGGTATACAATCAAAACTTTCTGAAACAAGATAAATGGTACGTTGCAACAGATAACCCATAAGTAGCCTACCGTTTTTCCCTTTCTTCTAAATGTGCACAGGTTAATGTATTTATATAACATTACAAAGCTAACAAACATGGCTGTTTGGTGGAGAAGTCGATGTTAGGTTTTACATGGTAGACTAACCATAACTTGCAGCTTTGCCAGATGTCGCGAGAGTGTTATCAGGATCAGAATACCTTTAGTCCCACAGAGGGGACATTTGCATTGTTACAGCAGGAAAGAGCCACAGACAGCTTAATGTTAAATATGTTTAAAAAAGTACTAAGTTATGATATAATACAAAATAAAAGTAAAAAAAATACTTGTATAAAAATACTTTTCAAAATCCAAATCCTGTAACAGTTCTTAGGATTTAGCAGCCAGGCCTTGACAGGTTATTTTCCGAATTAAATAATACATTTTAGTTTCATAATATACAGTATTATACATGTGGCTTGTAAAGAGTTTGTTCAATATTAGCTTATTTTTTTACCAAAAGGTCAAATAATCGGTCAATATCTGGAACCTTTTCACTTTGACATGCCGACGGATTTTTTAAAGGGACAATGGAAAAAAACAAACATAGATACAGGAAACTGTCAGTGCGGCATCTACTTTAACCTTTTACATTCATGACTTCAACTAGTACACTTGCATTTAATTCGGTATACAAGTTGGTCATCCTGTCTTAAACTGGCACACCTGAAAAGAACCACGTCCTTATTAAACTGGAGCTCGCCAAATGGTTTATGGCTTCCGGTTTCGAATTAAAACAGTAGCCTAATGGTTTTTCTCTATCTAGAAAATAATGAAGTGAACGACTGAAGGCTAACAAAGCCCTGGTCGTTGTATACGTTTATAACTTTTAACAGCTCAGACTTTCAAACAGAAGGCTCGTGAAAAGCTAGAGGGGTATGGAGTTTCGACATGCGTTGAATACAGGTTAACGCCATTGGAGTTATCGCCATTGTTACCGAAAATTACCACGTCAGTTTAACAAACAATATCTTCGACAGTGAACAAATTCATGCAACACATCAATTGTTCCGGTATCTGAATAGGAAAGGCCCTATATCTTTGCTCATACCTTTATGGATGAGCGGAACCAGCTTGAGAGATGTTCAGTTGCAGTTTTACTTTCTGGAAAAAACTATAACTTCCGGGTCATGATCTTCAGAACAAAGGCGTCACATAGACGAACCGTCTCAAAAATAAACATTGGCCCATATATAAAGTCAGCAACAATGAAATAGATGTAAAGCCCTAATTATATAAACTACTCATTCTACAGTCGATGTTATGATAGCCAGGTGATGTGTATTGGCCTGTAGGCTATACAGTCTATGGTATTGACTTAGTGGCTGTCCAATAACAAAGAGGAAATACCGTTAAATTACACACTGCTCCGACTGCCTTGTTGTTTGCGGCAATTACAGCTAACAAGAGACATGTGGACTAACATTTTCATATTTTCTTTGGAACCAGTTACATAATCCATTACTGGGTATGACATTATGAAATAATTGAAGTACTGAAGTTACAGTACTTCAATTATATATATTTTATTCTGGAGGTCTTTACAGCTTTAAGTCTTACTTCTGGTTTGGAAAGAGTATTCTCAAGTAATCCCATAATATTGCAAAGGGCTGCGAAGGTGCATTTTTATTTTGCTTTCACTTTCAGTTGAACAATTCATTGTATTTTGATAACCATTGTTGGAATGTAACAAAGTGCATTTACTCAAGCAAGTACTATTTTTACGTATGTTACACCCCGCCCTTAAAAAACTAAATTACACCACGCACTGACCCAAATAGAACACACATTTATTACAATCAAACATGTGAAGCGTAGAAATGTCCATCCTGGGATGAGAGGCAGAAACAAAGCAGTCCCAGGCAGAGGCCTCTCCCTCCGGCTGCTGAACACTCCTGTGTAGAGGAACTGGAGGGGAAAGGAACAGGGAACATATATGTATACAGCTGTAACCCATACTTATACTTTACTTGAGTATTTTTTATTTAATGCTACAAATTCTTATATTCCATTACACTTTTGAGACAATAATTATACTTTTACTCTACATTTGTTTTCTAAACATGGCTCAACATTTACACACTACAACTTCCAAATAATTGGACATGTTTTTTTTGGAAATATTCAGAAATATTGTTTTTTTAAAAAGAAGAAAAAAAGAGCCATTCTGAGTACTTTTATTACACAAAGTACACTGAGTATATTTCAAGAACATAGTATTTCTACTTTAACGCAATTAAAAGAGTACTTTTCCAGCACTTGAAATGTTAACAGTACTGCATTGATAGATACAAATATACATAATGCTTGCCTTGTTACTCCAAATTAAATTAGTCTTATATAGTTTCTATTTCCTTTAATCTTATATATTTCCAATACATGTCCCTTCTCTTTTAGTGCTTACTTTGGTCCTTGTGCTGTCCTGTTCCCCTGTCCCCCCCCAAAGATCCATAAAGGCCTAGCCTGTGGCTCTGTCATGTGATGGACTGAACATGAAGCCCAACATCTTCATGATGGAAACTTGCAGTTTAAAAGTAATGGTTATCTAAAACATTAGGCAAGCAAAACCCCATGGATCTGGCTAGTAGTGTTTGGGATAACATGCCTTTTGAGGAAAGGGTCTGAGCAAAACACTGGTGGACTGGCTGACCAGGATAACCTCACCCCCAATGCTGATAAAAACACAAGTCAAACTGTAACTCCAACCAAACATTCATGGATTAAGTGTTCACATGAGTCACTTCAACAAGGTCATTTATTTGCACAAGTTCCCTTATAAAATATTAATAATGTATTAGTTTATTTAGGGAATATTACATTTAAGCATTTTTTTTTGTTTTACTTAATGAGTAAGCAAATAGCTTTTTAGTTACCAACTATAAACTCCATACTGACAGTGTTTACTAAAGCATTTCTTATTAATTTATCAATTTATCACATTAGCTGTGCTTTTACAGTTGCTAACTCCAAAAAACATAAATGGGAGAACAACATATTCTATACTAATGATAAAAAACGTTTCCTAGAATATTAGAGTTCAAATTGTTGGATCCCCGCCCACGCCGTTTGTCATCAGTTTTAAAGCGTCCTCTTTCTCGTGCAGAAGCTCTTTGAGTCTTTGGATCTGTTCGTGTAGTTTGACTACTTCAGTGACAGTGGTCTCACTGTCACTCACTAGACCCTCAGCAGTCTTATACTCCTTCACTTTTTGACAGTTGATCTTTCCAGATGTTTTTACAACTTTTTTAGCAAATTTGGTTCTTCCCCCTTTTCTACTCGTCTGCGACGTCCCCCATGCCCACTTCTTGGGCTCTTCTTGGGACCTTGCACCGTGCCCCCCCGCAGGGACGCAACAAGGACACATCGTGCGCTTCCTTTTTCTTCCCATTCTCCCCGTGTTTGTGTTCGGATCCACACAAGTCGGAGTCTGTGGCCGGCCAGCGATGTCCCGTGAGTTGGGGATGTTGCTTTCATCTGTGCTGAGGAAATCTTCATCTATGGGTTCCACATATCCACATTCTGGCTCACTTTTAATATGACATGATGTTCCCTTGTCCAGAGTGCTACCTGAATAGTAAATCGCATAGAGAGGAGTTGGACTGTCAGAATCCTCTAGTTCAGTTTTCAGTACTTTCCCTGTTGGGACATTGATGGTACCATTGCAGCTGTTACTGCCTTGTAGACTGTAAAGGTCCTGTAAAGAAACATCTTCCTGTTGCAACCCGCTCGCTTGTTCCTGATTATCCTCCACCGACTTTATGGACTCACTCAGTAGAAATTTTGCAGACGAGTCTTTGTCAATTCTCGGCAGGCTAATTTTCACATCGGCTGTTATTCCAAACATGTGTCTCAGCAGAGGATCGGCAATTTTACAGGATTCCGCTGCCAGCGAAGATGTCCAACTTGTAGCAGGATTCATAGAGCACTGTGAGAAGAAAAATAAACTCTTTCAATTCAAAAAATACATAAAAGAAGAATAAGTTATATTATAACAAGTTATATTAGCGTCTCTACAACAGCGGTTCTTGGGCATAGACGCTTTGTCAGCATGCTCATAATAAAAAATGCGGATGTTTAGCAATAATATTAAAGGATCAGCATATTTTTGCAATGAGATATTTCTTACTTAGCACCAAACACAAGGTACAGAAGAGGTTGATGGGAATGTCACAGTGTTTGAGGACCTTTTGGTTCCAAACCTAATCAAAGGAGTCGGCGGATCAACAAGTTATTCTTCACGAAACCAAACATTTTTGTTTCATCTGCATAATAATCCATCCAATATTTGTTGAGATAATAGTCTGGACCAATCAGATGACAGCTGTATTTAGCAGCAGAACCAGTGGACGTGACCATGGTAACAAAACATAACTTTTACCGCAAGGCCCACCGTGAGCAAAAAGCAAAAGGCGTATGACGTGGATGCAGCTGAAGTAACACAGCTGGAGTCAAGACGTTATTAGGCTGGCATACAACTACAACTTAAATACAACTACCAAGACTTCTCAAACTAACTGATTCACCTTTTGTATCGGACTGCTCAATCTGTACACAAACAGAAATGTAAAAACATGCATTTGTGGTTTTGAGATTACTTAGTGGAGTTGTTCCTTGTCGGTTCTATTGTAAAGCCCCTTAAATGCAAATGTATTATTTGTGATATCTCCTATAATATTTCTTGGTATTTTAATTGTTACACTTTTTCTAAATTAACTCAAACCTTGTTTTGTCATTTCTTTACTGTACTGCAATTTAATGTAATACAATAAAGACACATGACAACATGTTAGGCATTGGTATGTTTTTAAGTAGTTTTCAGCCAATTGCAGATTTACACGTGTAACACCTGAAGGTATTCTCACATTAAGTTTCTGGTAAACAAAATGTCCCTGCAGTTAGCCATGAAAAAAAGACATGTCACTTTTTGGTTGCAGGTAATCAATAAATATTGATCAGAGGAATCATAAACTTTAAACAGTTCAGTCTGTATTCAGCCTATTGATCAAGTAGCAACCTCAGGGTATTAAAAGTGAAGCGCAAGTGTTAATCCTGCGTTCTTTTTCATAACCAGCGAAAAGAAGTCTGCTTCTATAAAAGGTCTATTAGAAAATGACATTTCTTATTACCTTTATTATTTATAACATATTCCTAATGAGCTTATGGTCTTGATGGTTAGTTTGAAGTTGTTTTGAATTAGCTAAAAATCGCAACTTCTCCATTTGTGCTTTGAGTCTTTCTGTTTGTAGATTGAGCACATTCACATTATCTAAATTAAAAAGGTGAACCCTGAACTGCAAGTCCTCAGGAATAGAACATGTCGTATTAATAGGAAATGTTCACTTGTTCATCGACATAAATGAATGTGGGGCACCGTATTTGCAGTGCATGACATTAAGGATTTTGGGAGCTAATTTACAGATGGCCCTGAGCCCAC